TTCACCAAACCACCACGGAGTCACCTTTTCAAAGCGACATTAGCTGACCAGGGCGAGTGGAATTATATACCATGCTCTCTGGATCCTGACACCGTGTTGACTAATTTTTAGGTCTTGATTTTTCCCCCAAAAGACCCCGAAAACGACCCACCGCGGAGGGATACGGCCGGATATGCTAGATAGGGGGCGGTTCACAACTATCTGTAGATATACGCCTTCCGCGCTTGCTGGTATGCAGTTGGACATTGGGCGTGCCATTTCTTAAGAGTCGCAGGATCGAAATATCGAGATACACAACTTTGCAGCGCCTGCTTTGCGAGAGCGGATCCCATGGCATTCCGGAAACGGAGTGGAGTTATCGAGGAAATAGTGGACGGCAGCATCCATCCATTCCCCCCTGATTTTCCACGTTTCATGGTATTAAAGGAATGTGGCTTGGGCAGAGGGCAGTACTAGTAGTTGAGCAATTTATCAGGGGAGGGAGATGAGTTACTGTATATCTGATGGTTGACTTAAGGTAGCTTGCCTCCCCTACGCCGGGTAACTGGGAAAACTGCAGTGCGCGGTGGAGGGACACACCCACCATCAAGAGGCGCGTCTCATTCTACCTCCAGCACTCCCCAAAGTCGCCCCCATTTCTGAAATCCCTGTGCTCATACATACCACCCGCCCGCCCATAAACAGTGCCCCCAGCGGTCCCGGTACCCCACAGGGTCCGGCAGGGGGTACGAAGAGCCCCAGACCAGACTGAGAAAGTTCCTGTAGTCCGTCCCTGGCGGCGATACCTCAGGACGGGTACGCCACCTTCGGACCGGACGGCGGGGCAATATATATGGTGAGGCTAGAGTTGATAAGCCAGAGCCGCTAGTTACCTCAGGGGACCGCCGGGGTATGATATGTGTCCGGGCGCGAGGCAAAAAGCCGTGATACCACACAACCCATAGTCCCCTCCCACCCTATCCCCGAGAATAGCGGACTGGACCATTGGAACACCTCCACTGGGGTCCATAGTCTAACTCCTTTCGAAACCCTCAGATTAAGCCTTCGTATCATACTTTCCATCACCTCACGACAACCCCAACTCGCACGATTTAATCACAATGCTCTTAGCCAAGAAAACAACACCCCAGCATTAGAGAGGCCAGTATCAGGGAATCATGTTTTGTGGTTATCATAGCAGGCAAGAAGGCGACTCTCCCGCGAAATCCACTCCCAGCTTTCCCGTCGGCAATGAGGCGAAGCCTTGCTCAGTAGCAGTAAAATATATCCCCTCTCCAGAACTATAATATACCAACCAGAAGGACTGGTGGATACCTCACCTGCCGTACCCAAAGCACTGTACAAAGCGAGTATCCTATCTTACCTATCGGACCCCGAATCAGTTAGTTGGTCAACTTAAAGAGATTAAATTTAGTATGCATCTGGAAAACCAGAGTTAGTCGGAACATCCCCTAGTCGCCTAAATTCTGTTGTATCATATCTGAAACCCAGTTTCCACGGATATAATAGGTTAGTAATATGATGCGCACGACCGCACCACCCTTCCCACGTGGACCAGAAGTTGCGCATGCGATCATTTCCATTCCGTTTCGTTTCGTCACTTTGCAACTTGCGACACGGCCCACCACCACCTCCTCCAGTAGACAGAAGAATAATGGTAACGGAGAGAGAATGAAAGAAAGAAAAGCCTAAAAAATCGACAAAATATTTTCGCCAGCTGGTAGCTATTTGACAGAGGGTTATGATATTCTTGAAAGGAATAAAAAGAACTGAAAAGAGATAAGTGGAGATCCTAAAGCTAGTCGAGATTCCATGCATCCTAAAAAAAAAAAAAAAAAAAAAAAACCTACACTACCAGGTTTTTTTTTTTCCGTGTTGAATTCAATTATCATTACACCAAGCTTTTACAAATCCATGAAAACCATCAAAACCAACAAATGAATACCGTTAAATATTATTACACTGCTAAAAGTAGAGTGAACCTAAATTTGAGGGTCAGATATAGAGAGGGGGGGAGGGAAAGAAACAAAAGGTTTTCTGAATCAAATACAAGATGTCTGCCGAGATGGACATCTACTCATGAAATAGAAGTAAAAACACAGCAGCAAACCCCAACAGCGGGGCAGATAGTAACTCTCCAGCTTTTAGTGGCATTTGTGTCTAGTATCACTCTGTTAGCCTTACAGGAAAATGGTCGGGGAGATAGGATAAGGTAGGATGGGGGAGCCTACGGTAAAGTTTTCAGCTTCAACACATCTAATGACCTGAGCCACCTTCGTCGCAACTATGGTCTAGGTGATCAGCATCTTCAGAGGCATCCCCATAGTCCGAGTCTTCCTTGGGCTCCTCTTTGTCATGCTCATCCCCACTGCCAAGCTCCAAAGATTCAGGAGACCCGTAATCGTCTGTGACATTTCCGAAATACCACGCCCTGGGCAAAGCCTCCGTCCAGGTCTCGGGGAATATGGTCTCGAAAGCTGCAGCAACTTGGGTAGCCGCCCATTCAGACGAGAACTCCCCAGCCCCCTCAAATCTCCCCAATGTCTGAAGATGGGCTCCAGCTTCCAAGCCTTCTTTATCATGACTCCAATGTCTCACGAGTTCTTGGTATTGGCTCTCAAGCTTTTGAGCAAATGCCCCAGGATCAGCCTTCCAGTCCGCCGCAATCCACGCGGCGTAATCAACAACTGCCCAGTATACTGGTACCCCTGTATGGCCGATCGGCGGCCCACCGACTGCACCACCGTCGCTACGACCGATGAGGGGAGAATAAACACAATGGGTATGCAAGTGAATCACATCTCTGAAGGACTGCTTAATGGTCACCACATCCCTACGGGTGAATTCCTCAAATGGCTTACGAGGAGGGTAGCCCATTTCTGACATCAGGTGCTCAACGCGGCAGGACTCTGCACGGCGGAAACGTAAATGTGAAATGAGTTCTTCAGCTTGGAGAGTGTTGAGGCCACCATTAGTGTGAGTGTTGATCAGTTCCCAGACACGGTCGTTCTCCGGAGCTGCGTCGTATGCCGACTGACAGGTTCTGTACCACTTTAAAAGTGGGTTAATAAGTGATTCCGGGCCGTGGATTGTGGCCGAGGTGATGGATATGGCAGGCATAACGAGTGCCGGTTGGTCGGTATACTGTTTGCTGTGAGATCGGACCTTTGAAAAAATTTACCGAGGCGATATTTCTCAAGTTGGTTTGAGAGAGTTTGTGGGGGTGGAGAGGGAGAGTGAGTCTGAGGTGAGGAGAGAGGGGGGGGGGTCAGAACTATATAGAAGAAGAGACTATGAAAACAAATTGTGCTGGGGGTATTGGTGAGAGATAGGGCTTGTGGCGAGTGCGGGTAACAGAGGGAGAGGATGGTGGTCAAAGGGGGTAATACGGGAGCGAGAGAGAGAGAGTGTGTGTGTATCTTTAGCGTAGTTTCTCTGTACAAGGATAGCAGCCCCGACTTTTATAATTCCCGCTCCCACTTCCGTTAGGGAAAATAGCCTACCGGAAACCAGGATTCAAGGAGGAATTATAGGCAAATAGAGAGTGGTGAAGAGTACGATATAGGAGCAATCCTTGGGAGGGGTTTGAGACGATCAAGAGAGAAACATTTCAGGGTAAGCAATCAGGTCCCTGTTCCATTATTCCCCCGTCTAGATGTGAGCCACGCTGGCCCACCACATTCAGACATTCTCACCCTTTTGCCAGAAACGACCAGATATATGCACAGAAGAAATCATGGCTCGCATCGATGCTATCCGTCTACGTCTAAATTGCTTCTCTGCAAAAAGATTTCCAACCCAATCATACCCTTCACCATATCCCCACCCATCACCGCCCAGACTCCCCGTCACCACCAAACCACTCCAGCCCTCCTCCCCTCCGCCGGTCCCACAGAGGGTGACCAATAAAATTGAGGTCTTTCTTTCACCCTTTTTGAATCAAGGAAGCTAATATCTGAGAAGTATAGTTTTGTGTAACGAAGGTCTTACTTCAATACCATCCTCACTCACTTCCAGGTTTGGCAATAACTGACACGGAATCCTACGGCATGAGATCCAGACTCTCACAGTGGCTGACAATATGCGCAGGAACCCATGAGGCACCGTAGAAACTAGAATAATAGCGCCACGTGCTATGCAGTCGAGAATCCCCTTCTTTAGGAAAGGATCAAATAAAAACACGGCAAAAGATGGGCCGCTCAGGCCCTCGGAGAGACAAAAAAAAAGCACCAGACCTTACCAGAGGAGGCAACTCCAACAACATAGCACACGGCTCTATTATTCGAGTTTCTACGGCAATACAAGCAACCGCTTTTTTTGTCGCCTTTTAATCCCCCAGAGCACTGGATCTCCCCGCTCTAATATCCAATCCACCTGAAAATTCCCCGGATTCTACCATGCAGGTTCGCTCATCACTACAGTGGCACCCAGAGAAGCGAGAATGCCTCTGCATCCCTATCGGTTAAGAATTATTTCCCCGGCATTGATACTATACATACTATACACTGAGCTTGATCTCCCGCAGTGTGCTTCCCTATAGGGCACCACCACTAGGAAGCACCATACTTGAGCACAGATCTCGCTATAAGCACAGTCACTGTCAATGATTCGTTGTCGTCTCCCTTATCGAGAGTTCTTATCGACAACTACCTTGTTCCGGTGGTGACATCAACAAGGCATTTTAAGCATAGGCAGTACAAATCCCTGTCCATCCAATCACATCCCATGGAAATTTCTGGGGCAAGCGGCTGAAGTGGAGCTCTGACCTTTCACCACCAACCTCCCCCGAGTAAGCAAAGCACCGCAATACCAGCATCCGGTACCCTACTCCCTTCGCCCACTGCGTCCTTACCTCCTCCCTACAGTATGACAGAGTGAGATTTAGGCCAACATTTGAGAATACCGAGCGCAGTGAATATACGGTTAGCCCAACAGCTCGCTCACATATCCCCAAAATACAGGCTCTACACTCGCTTTTTATCCTCACCTCTCTCACCAGAATGGTTCACAGTTCTCGCCGAGTGCCTACTCTTCCCCTATGGCAACCCAAGACCCTCTTCAGCGCAAACCAAACCGTATCCTACCTCCCCAGCCAGACAACCCCGGACTCGAACACGTCGTCTCTAAACTTCCGATCCGGCCCATGGAAACTCCTGGTGACAGACATCAAGCTAGTTGCCACGCTCCTCCTTTGGGTTCCCCACATTTTCCTTCCCTGGCGAAGCACAAACCCATATTCGGAGCTGTACCCGTCATGGAAAAACATGCGTGATTTGGGGCTGCACATTGTGCTCGGTTTAATAGGTTCCGTCTGGTTGATTATTGTTATCCCTGTATGGATAGCGGCGCCTGGGCTGGGGTTTGCACTGTTTATGCTGTTTTATTGCGCGCTCACATCTCTTTTTTGCGTGCCGTTGGATTACGGGCCAAGAGTAGTGCAAAGTCGGATTCAGCATGTGAGTGGCCGGGAGATCCGAGATGGTGAAAACTGGGTGTTTGTGAATGGAGTCGCAGCGGGAAACCATTGGCTGCAAGGTATGTTCGTTTTGGTGTCGGTACAAACCAGAGTCTGTAGGCTGGGCTAGGTGTAACTTAATGGGTGTAGCAAATGTCGATATGATCAGCGAGATATTTGGTCGACCGGTGACTGGGATACATAATCGGACCTATGGAACTGTGTTTGATCTCCTCGAGTGCCTGATCCAACGATGCTTCTCGTATGCTACAAAGGATACTAGAGTTCTATATGACCATCTGAAGAGCGTACTTCTAGACAACAACATACAAACATGTGTTGTCATTGCGCATTCCCAAGGCGGAATCATCCTTTCCACCGCCCTAGACAGTCTTTTCGCAGATATTCCAAGCGGGGCATTTGAAAAACTGGAAATATACACGTTCGGGTAACCATATATTCTCTTGCTCCTCACCATCCTCATGATCTCCGCAATGCCTAACATCTCACAACACAGTTGCGCAGCTAACCACTTTAACAATCCCATCCGTTTCGTCCCCTCCCAGCCACAGACGCCGTCGCCGGCGGACCCCCCGGCGCCGGAGGAGCGGCTGATAAAGCATATAGAGCACTACTGCAACGAACACGACTTTGTCGCCCGCCTCGGCGCCCTCCATTTCTCGAAGGACAAGCCGTCAAATCGCTTTGTCGGCAAGGTATTTGAAAACAAAGGTCATGGAGGCCACTTGCTCAACCAGCACTACCTCGGTCGCATGTTCGCCAACGACGGCTCTGACTTTCTAGACATGGTAGTGGAGGTGAAAGAAGACAAAGCTGCACAAAGTGCTCACGCTCCTGACGAGGAAATAACCCAGGAGGAGCTGAGATCGTCCAGGAGTTGGCCACCTGCCCGGACCGAGTTCAGGATGGCATCAGTCGGGGTACCTAAGGATCTCGGGCAGATGAGGACGTTGGGCAGGAGCATTGCCGTTCCTACTCCCAGCACTGGTTGGGATTTTGTGGCAGGGCCAAGGGTGAGGGTATCAGCAGAAAGCCAGAGTGGTAGAACAGTGAGGGAGCTCAGTCGGTTGTGGAGATATAAGGATGGGAGATCGCCGGACTAGCTTTTCTACTGCACGAGTGTGCGCACTGTGCAACCACCCATCTCATTCGGGAGCACGTGGGACAAGCCCGAGTTTTATTTTTATCTTTTATCTTCATTGACTGTAAATACCGGTATCATACTAGAGATTTTGGCCATACGATACCAACAGCTACCGGGTACAGCTGATAAAAACCCTGCAACGGGTGATTTCCTTTTAGATAAAAAGTTCAACCCAGCCACCGACGTTAGACACATGCTATGTTGCTGCCCTTGTGGTAACTTCACGGCGGACCATACATGCACTCAGGAATGAGCATGTAATCGGACACACATGCATTAGAAGGTATCAAAGATTTTCACTATTTGGTCAACATCTACAAAGTCCGCTTCACTATTTCCTATGAGGGCAGTAACAGTCGGCCTAATTACCCAAATCCATACGGGAGCACCAGCGCAGTACCTTAAGCACCCTAGCCCCATTTTACGAGCACAAGGGCTTGTCAATTCCATACCCGTTAAGGAGCGGAAATACAAACTTTGCTTGGCCGGGAGGAGACCCAAACGCGGCAAGCCTTACAATTACGTCTCGCATCATAGGATCGGGCGCATTTGTATCCCAGCCTTAGCCCACGAGCGCACAGTGGTCACCCTGATAGGAGCAGATGGACCCCCATAATCGCAATAGTACAGTGCACTGGTAACTTATATACACACAGCCAAGTATGTAGATTCGCACGCCTACAGACAGAGCATAGCTGTCCATATCTCAGTCTAATGCCAGTTATGACTGTCCAGCTCGCTGCTGCGAACAATGTATTATGTTCGAGTAGTTGCTTCTCGGTCGATTAACCAATTTCCTCCTCGGCGAAAACCACATATACGCTCCATTAAAAGTGTCACTTCCTCCTTAGGTAATACCCACAAACCTATACTCGAAGGGGAATGGATGACTTAGAGTCGGCTCGCTCACTCCTTGAATTAGCAGCCAACCGCGTTGCCATTATTGGCAGGCCAACCAAGCGAGCATCACAGCTGAATGTCCTCATCGCAACAACAAGAACAACAGCACACATGCAGGTATCAGAGTATACAACTGAGGGTCTGCGCATTGCACGTGCAATGTGGACTACGTTCTGGGACGCTGAGCGGCAACATTTTAGGACGCCGAAGAAGAGTTCTGGGACTGTGGGTGCAACCAATCTCACGCTCGATGTGGCCAGCCAGTTAGTTTAGGTGCTGACCCGAGCGATCGGTGTATTAGGTGGATAGCTGGAATGGATACGTTATCTGGCCATTCGTAAGTTCCCCCGACCTCGTCCCCCGAGAGTGCTGGTTGATGCCAAGTGTGCTAGATAATCGGCGTGGAAGCTCTGCTAGAAGCAGAAGCCGCTAACCCAGGCAGCTTCACAGCCGAAACAAGCGCCTCCCTAGAGGCAGTGGAAAAGTTCTATTCAAGCGAGTACGGCGCGTACACCGCGTGGCTAGCGTTCGAGGGGAATCGTGACATTTATTACGGTTAGTCCAAGATCTTTTGGCCCCCCCGGATACAGATGGCTAAGGAAGGGGGGTCGCCAGATGATAACGCACAAGTTGCCATCGCATTGCTCAGGGCGTACAATATCCCCTCCGTTAGCAACCCCGTGTACCTCACTCGCGCTAAGCGCATCTTGGACTTCTTATTTACCGGATGGGATTCAGCAAATGGTGGGGGGATGAAGTGGCATGTAGAGAAGACTGTGCGCAATGCTATATCGACCTCCCTAACGGCTGTGGCGGTGTTGCAATTTGTCAAGACCGATCGGCAGATCGCCGATGCTGCGGGTGGCGGCGCAGCCGCCGGTGTGGCGGACAAGACTGAAGCGGAGTTGATCGCTTTTGCACGGCAGTGCGTGCAGTGGGTTCTTGACGAGTTGCAGCTGGATAGTGGGTTGATTATGGATGGGGTGGGGGGCGGGCCCACTTACACGTTAACACCCCACCTTCCTTTCTCCTCGCAGAAGTGACTTTAGAACTAATCGTGGGGAGTAGTTACAACACCGGAGTACCACTCCATGCGATATGCCTTCTGCAAGAGCTAGATCCCACCTACGACCTCGCGGCCAAGGCGGGAAAACTTGCTGCCGCCGCAGTCGACAAGGAAAAATCTCTCTTCGAGCTCACGGTAGCGAACGTGGAGTACAGGTTCTGGTGGGACAATACCTACTTTCTCCAACTATTGGTCGAAGGTCTCATCAGCTATGCCAAAACCTACGCCGCCACACAGCCCGCAATAGCCCAGAGAGTGGTTGGAGAGATGGACAGACAGCTGAGATATGTGAGGGCTTACATCGTTGACAGCAGTGATGGGTTGTACGTACTCCTTCTTCCTCTTGCTTTTCTCTCTCTTCCTCGCTAATTCGACCCACCGCGATATACACTGCAGGTATTGGAGGTCGCTGAGGCTGTATGCGATTTCTCAGGAGAAGCTGGCGATCTACCGCCAGCTCACCGGCGATAACAGAGATCCAGAATATGATCAGGAGGAGAGGGTGATGGATGATGCGAACCTGGCCTTGCCCATAGCAGAGCGCGAGCTCTGCAAGACCCTTTTGGGAAATGGTGGTGTGTCAAGGACCTTTTTGCTCGCTGGCCAGTACTCTGCCGCCCCCTAGGGCTCACGCAACGCGCTCACGGGCTCATCCCATAGCCATTTGAAGCTATTCTCCCAAGTTAATCAAGAATATTCTTAAACTAAGCTAGTCTCCATACCGAGTGATATATAATGTTTCCATTGAAAATATCGATCGACTCAAGCTCCTTTACATGGAATCTCTTCAAGGGAAAGCCTGAAGCTTTCAAGCCGAACAGCACTCGTAACCCAGTTATGAACGTCCAGTGGAGGTGAGGTGTCATTCGAGTGATCAACCATGATTTGCACTCAATCGCCAAAATTCGACAGACAAGCCAGTGCAATTTTTCTCATGTCTCAGAAGCCGAGGATATAGAACTGCTTAAAAAGGCGATCGTATAGGGCATAAGACACCACTATATTTCCAATACAGTATCATAGCCGTGATATTATAGATCCACATACTCCCGATTTTGTGCAGAAAACAGCCCGCATAACATTATGCAATCAAACCGCCGACGCGTAGCCGCGCTCCAAAGAAGACAGCACACTCCGTATAGGACCCCAGGAATTTTCTTCGTCCTTGCCGCCTCTCCTCTCCCCTTATTTCCTGCCTTTCCTACAACCATCATCTCCCGACTCCTTGTGCACCAGGAACCCCTTCCCCCACCAAAACTACTCCTCGCCAGCCTCAACCAATGAATCAGCTCTCGGAGAGAGATCCACGCCATCCTCTCGTGCTTAGGGATATCTGACGAGCTACATTCGGCTTATTGAAAGACATTGAGAGTCAACTCGCATTCGACACGATCGATCTAAGCTTTCCCACGGAAAAGGCTTTTTCCGTCGTTTCCAAGAAAAATATAATACAATAATAGCAAACTGGAGCTTAAGCAGAGATCGCTTCTTCCAGACGGCTACCTTTCCGGCTGAAATTGGCCCTCCAGGTTCTCTCATTATACAGATATCCCCAGCCCTTTGTTTCCCTCCGCCATGGTGTACCAGACAACCACCCGATCACAGTGCAGCAAACTCACCGTGCCGTGCCCTCAAGGCCCTCCTCCATCTTGGGTCTATGGCAATTGTTTAGGTACTGTGTACCCTTGCCCTTGTAATCTATCCCGCCCATCCAGCAACACCATAACTTACCACACACTGAGGTTCCTGATGATCCCGGATTGAGATCCGATACGTTGTGCAGGCATTTCTCTCCCCCCCCGCCCTGGTGGGGCCGACCTCACAAGATCCTTCTCAGCCCACCCGTAATCCCAAGCCCTAACACCTCATGGCCGACCCTGCTCGAGTACGGTAAATGGCCAACAAGTGCGGAACGAATGCCGTTCGGCGTCAATCGCATCCCAGAATCTACCGTTATTTCCCTTCCTAGCGTGTCAGGATAAATCTTGAAAAGTTGAAACTCTTCCGCTTCTGTGTTCGGGTTCGGAGTTCCGCACCGTTACCAGCCATCCCGCATCGCACGCAGCTCGCTTGGAGAGGTGGTACTTGGGAGCTCGGCGTTTTAGGTGCTAACTTACGGGAGCTTCATTGGCCGCCAAATGAAGTGTGCCCCAGGCGCAAACACCTCGTGCGGTTACCTTGTTTACAAATCCTGTCGACCCAGCGGAGAGGTGTTTCGGGCCAAGTGAAATCACGTTGGGGCTCAAGTACACAAGACCTGCAATTACCCCCAAGTTACCGATACCCCCCGTGCCCGCACCGCTCCTCCACGGATCCAGCGTGCTGCACGAGGGCCCAAGCTCATTTCAATATCCTGGCACAATTCGTCCGATCATTCGTGTATCGGAATTGAAAGGCGGGACAGATTAAGTAACCCTGCGTATCGCACCCCACGGCACCCCACGACTCCGCAGCAGGAAGGCAATACTTGCACGAGTACTAGTACAGTGCCTGTATACAAGGTATCGTGGTGCCAAAGTACCAACATGCGGAATATGGGCAATTTAACGGTATCGGTTCCCCGAACTGGCCTCTCAACCGGCCGGTATGTCCGGTCTCCTATCCACCACCTCCACATCAAGACACCAATAGTTCCGATCGGGACATCAAAGTGGCAATCTAAAAATTCCAAGAAAGGGTTCAGAATACCTTAGATCGCATGGATGTTTAACTCCTGCTACCGCAACCGTTCCTTACCCTAGTGCCATGGATACCAACGTGGACCCTACCCACACCAAGATCTATCAGGCACTAGAGACATGTTTCCCCAAGGCTCTACAAACTGCTAGGAAAAAAAAAAAACGGCTGGAAAAACAGTCCTAAGACATAATGCTTTTAATTTTTAAGATCCGCAAGTGTTACTTCTCAGCAGACCATACTTGCTAAAAAGTAGGACTATTCTCTCTTGCCAAACCTTGGTCTGGATAGTCGCGATATCACTCATCTGTTTTAATGCTATAGGACCACTGTCTTAGGGGGTAAAGCCCAAGTTTGTACCGATCGATGTTATGGTATACTAGACATGCACGCCAGCAATTGGAGGTATTATAAAGCCTTTTCTCGAAAATTCATTACCCAAACCCCACCCCCGCCCAGCGCGGCAATCACACAGATGGCCCGGATTTGGTCCCCCACGGGGTTTAGCGTAAAGGAATTCCCAACGGCCAGTCCGTCAATATCTTGAACCTGCCCCCAAGCATTACCGTCACCGCCAGGATAGAAAAATGCTATACTAACACTATCCAAAGAACTTTTCGGGGATGTTCCAGGTTACAATAGGTGCAAGAACCCTTATCAATAAGGGGGAAGGCCAGCACGGAACCTGAGTCTATAGAAAAGCCCGAGCTCCGCGCCCCCCACTGTCACGACAGAGGTATTTGCGGAGGACATTGCCCCGGCTCACCGCCTTCCAACTTGCCGTGTTAGAATTAGAGAGGAGTGAGGTGCATACTGTTGAGAAAGGAAGCTCGGGTATCTAGCTGTCTCTGCTATGGAGACAGGAGCTGCGGTATTTTCCTGCAAAGCACACATACCGCACCGTACCACAGTATGATAAACCAAAGTCAGATATGACATACTTCAATAGCGGCTCTACATCAGTTGTGGAAGCGATTCCCCCCGCAAAGGAAGCACCCCGGTGGGGCCCACTTGCTAAGAACATCTGTTATTCGAGTATGGTCTCCAGTTCCAACCCATGATAGCACAGCTATCGTACGACGCAAGGGGACCAGGGGGGTTCACACCAATGCAACATCCAACGTCGCAGCACCGGATCAGACCCTCTCAGCGGCCAACAGCTCGGGGCAGTTTCCAATGCTCCCAAGCGCTGCGGAAAAAGGTCCTACAAACCGCCCGCCAACCGCCTACCAACTGCCCAAGTTTCCAACTCAGCTGTGGTGCATCCGAGGGAATACACTTGTGCGGTGATATCGACTCCGAGCAGGCGCACCTAAAATAGCCTAAATTAATAGCCAACGTCGCCCAAACTATTCCCATCCCCCTCCAGCCCCCCATAAAAAACGTCCATCCCTAGGAGATAAAGTCACAAATGATCACTCGTTGTTACTCAAGAACTCCAGTAATCTCCCCCCCCCCTGAATGCATCCTCCGCTCGATGGAAAAACTCGGAAGAAAAAAAAAGGGGGGGAGATGGAAATACCACCTACAAGCATACCACTTTCGGACGTTGCACTAAGGCGTTTTTTTTACACAAAGCTATCCACCCCCTGGAACGAAAGTTAACTACCCTCCAGCCTAAATAAGACCACGCCGGAAGCTCAACCTAGGACAATAAGATATCACCATCCTCACCACTACCACCTTCGCTTGCGAGAGAGAAAGAGTTAAGAGCGGGATATAAATTAAATCTAACGGCTCGCGAATCTAAGAATTTCCTAAAGGCGCCGAGTCCCCTTCCCCTCTCCTCCACCCCAAACACACAACTGAACGAACCACACGTATGCTCAATCCACCACACGATATGGCCAGTCAGTCAATCAGTCAAGATCCCCGTAGACAATACCACCACAAACTCCTGCATGACAATCGGGAAAACGTGATCCCCCCTCACCCCTCCCCCGGCTCAACTCAGCCCGGCTCAGCTCCGCACAGTACTCCGCACTCAGAGAGCATGAGGATCGAAGGGAAAAAAATGTATTGGCGAGATAAACGCTATGATACATACCACAGTGATACCAAACGAGTAATCCCCCCCTCCACAAATGTGAAAAGAAAAGTTTGAATCCCCCTTCCCCCCCCCCTCCTGAGAATAAACACTCCTAACGCTGGCTATACTAGCACGATACCTGCCGAGATCACACATGCTCACTCGCAATAGACATCCCTTCCCACTTCCCACCCGCACATGAGTGCATAGGCACCATACGGGAACCCACCCTGGAAAAAAGAAGAAAAAAAACGAAAACAAAGCCTCCAGAGTGACACACTAAAACTAGATGAATAAATAAAAATCGATCATACCATACCAAAAATTATATACATATCATGCCCACCCACCCACAGCACTAAAATCCACGCAACCTATCATACCATCCCCACACAACCCCCACCGACAAAGCCCTACAGCACGGCACCCAAGCATCATACGCGCAGGGACCAAAACGCTCCCCTCCACTCCAAACCGCCAAATTACTAGCACTACCCCTTGGCTCCCGACCAACTTTTATTTTTATTCCATTCATTTCCCCCTTTGGGGAGAAGAGAATAAAATAAAATTAAAATAAATAAAAAAGGCTAATATATTATCACATCGGGCCGTACTATATCTGTGTATCACATTAGCGTGATTGATTGATTGATTGGTGGATTAATTAATTAGGGTTGATGTTTAATTTCCTCTCTCTCTCTCTCTCTCTCTCTCT